ACTGCTGCGACGAAGGCCCGAAGAAAGATCGGAACCAACCGGGGAGGTTCCTGTGTACGCTGTGCGGAGCAGATATAACGGCAAATCATAACCTGACCAGTAAGGTGGTACGTTACTGGAGTCTTCTTCAACTTATTGTGCCCCTACAGACCACATGAACTCGCACTATGGGATTAAGAACAATCAATGCGTTGATTGCGGCAAGTTTTTTGCAACGAAATACAGCTTGAAGCGTCACGGGGATACGTGTAAAGCACCGGTCCTTGCTTGAAGCAGTGGAATTATTGACCTGCCAAGAGACCGGTTTTCGAACGATGTCGTTTCATAATGGTCCTTGATCTTTAGGTGGAAATTATATTAGCTCGACAAGTAATAACCATGACATTTGCACAGTAATGCTCACCATTGATCTGGAAAACAAAATCACGATCCGAAGATTCCGAAGAAGGCGCTAACTTGTATGTTATAACACGACTTCACCGTGACCGTGAGAATTTATCAGAGTATGACGTCTTGAAGGCACAGATTACCCAGGCCCCGCTCACTATAACGCCATCGGATTGAGAAGGTTCAGCTTTCATTCTGGGTTGACTATATTCTACTAACTTCTTTGGTGCGCCAGCAAAGTAAGTGGCATCACCTCTAAAAAGTTGAGATTATCACCATTTTCTCCAGAGATGTGTACGTTGGAAATCTGGCCATACGTTGGTAGCTGCCAGTGACTACCACGTCCCGTACGGTGTATGGTGAGTCAGGTTTGGACATTCATGGCGACGTTTGCCATGAGGCTATTCCCCAGGTTTCTCTATACCTCTCAGGCACTCAGATGAAGTACAAAGCACATGAACGATGACAGGGAAGCACACAAGCACTGATACAACCCGAATTACTTATGTACGGGCATCTTGGAGGCTCATGCAACTTAATTCAATCAGGCCGCTGTCACTTGGCCAACGCCTTATCAAGGTTTACATCTTCCCAAAATCCATTCAGTTACGCGCAGCTCCTGATGGGAAAACACATATCAGCCAATCATTGGATGCTCGATGATCAAAACGCGATGTGCCCTGCGTACTTGGCCTCGCATCAAATCCTTCAAGATGCGCTCCTGGCTTTAGCCTATCTGACTTCTCGAGCTTCAGGTGGCATAAATAGTTGAGCTCGGGGTCCTACTTTCACCCCGTCGTTCTGACCAATGACTCAGGTTCAACCGAAATTACCTTTCATAATGAAGTTTAGGTTTTGCGTTGTGGCTTGCGCGTTAACGCTTATATTCAGCCTCCTACCCATTCGTTGCGCCGTGGTTGAGATATCTGAGAGTGGGCGCGGTGTCTTATCCTAGATTTGGTAGATTAATAATGTTGATTACAATGATCCGAGAATTTACCGACAACTTTAATCTGCTCAACCACTGTGCAACGCCTGGCACAAAACATTGAAACAAATGGTGCCACAGCGCGGAGTCTCAAAACACGTCGCGCTCAACTTATGTCAGCACGCTTGGGCAGCGCGTAGTATCCAAGCGCTATACTCACCACCACCACAAAATGCCCTCGAAAACACTTCTAACATAGATAATAAATTATATTGTGAATAAGAAGTTTTTACTTTGAATTTTAACCGATGTCCATATCATTGTAGTACATCTAAAACTGACTTGATGACTCAAGACAATTTATGTAGCAGGAAAGACAATAAACTCAACTTCTGGGGTCATGTTTCTTTATACTGACTTGAAAGAATTTATTTTACTAAGAGCTGACTGCAGACAAGATTCACAAATACATCTGGCCACCCATTTGCCACCCATCCAATTTCAAGTATATGCACGAAGTTCTTCATCGACCCAAAATATTTCAACCTGCAGAGTTTTTCAAATTGTCAAATGAAATTTATTAGGTATGCTTGGAGTGTTCACGAGGGAGCTTTGTGGTGGTGGTGAGTAAGCGCTTGGATAGCGCACTGCCCAAGCGTGCTGACATAAGTTGAACGCGACGTGTGAGCAGATTAAAGTTGTCGGTGTTATGTCAGATCATTCTTATCAGTATTACTAATCTACCTAAATCACTAGGATAAGACACCGCGCCCACACCTCAGATGACTCAACCACGGCGCAACGAATGGGTAGGAGGCTGGCTTATATTTCCTGTAAGCTCTTTGGTGGCCATTGAAACTTGCGTCAACATATGTGGCGCAGCCGATTACATCTTCGCCGGTGTCGAATTCGGCAGTGAGTCGACCTGAACGTCCTGGCACCCCAAGGATTCTGATGTGCAACAAATTGCCCAGGCGTAAGTTATTGATTCTAGCTGTATTTTTTTTACGTTTCAATCGCGGATGAATTTCTTCTATTCTTAGGAATGCTGTTAGTCCACTTTCTTTCCACTTTTTTATAGCAAAAAAATATCAAATTCTTCTTTTAGATTGTGACTCCGCCCTGCAAATCCCGAGTCAAGCGGCACCAGTTACAGAGTGTGGTATCGCATGCAGCGGAAACGCCAACGAGACCTGCGGTGGTGCTAATAGGTTAAACATCTTTAACAATGGCAAGCCACCCCCAGTGATTGTACAGAGTGTTAATACAACGACGGGGATGTGGCATTATCAGGGATGCTTTACGTGCGTGTTTTCTCCAATATCCCCATTGAAGCCTTTACTCACAACACGACACAGGGATAGTACGGCGGCACGAACGCTTAGAGTCGGCGTGAATATTCCCAGAGGTACCACCGCTGAGTCATGTACTGCAGCCTGTGCGGCTGCTGATGGGTTTGTGAACGCGGGTTTGGAAGATGGGCACGAGTGTTGTATGCCCCGTTCTCATCGTATCTATCTTCTTGACCAATTCATCCGGATTTACAAGGGTGTGACAACGTAATCAACAACCCAGCACAACGTACGTCCGACAATGACTGCCGCATGGTATGTCAAGCCACCCACACCGAGTTTTGTGGAAACGCGAACCGCGTCGCAGTATACCATTTCAGCAACACAGGAACGGCTTCGGGATCCACACCATGCCTATTGACGGATCTGTCTGATTTCAAGCTGGTGGCGCAGTTCAAAAACCCCCCCACGACCGGTCCCAGTTTCGTCGATTTAAAAGTTGTGGTGGTCGAGATGTCATCAAACATCATTTGGACGGTGCTTTCCGTGGGTGGCGGTCTACATTTGCTTGTTTGATGTTCATTCCCCGCTGCAGGTTTGCCCTACCTGTTGCTCCGAATGGCCATCTTTCACGATGGAGAATTCGATCGTGTTTCCCAAGTCAAGTAATATTGTAGCTCAGGTGATGTCGTCCACCGCGCCCAGGGACGGAGAGTCGCCGAACTTTGTTGCTTCCATACCTGCTTTCCTGGGATCGCAATCGTACTGCACCATGGTTGGTTCGCTTGTCTCCCTTATTCGACCAAAAAAATTCACATGATGTTTTTGCGCGTTTTCAGCAAGACGTCGCTGGTG